CGGGACCATCCTGGCGGCTCCCAGGAGCCTGCCGGGGGCCGCAAAAGGCGGGAGCCCGCTTGGTCAGGTGCGGAGATTGTGGACCTCATCGAGGTTTGGGGGGAAGCCTCCAATGTTCACGATCTCCGCACTAGCCACGGAACGCGGCCATGTACAGCCGCATGGTTACCAGCCTGGCTGCCAGAGGCCACCAGCGGACCCGGGAGCTGGTCTGCTGTAAAATCAAGGACCTGCGGCAGTCCTACTCCCGGGCCTGCCCTCCAGGGGCCGACCCGGAGGCCTGCGCCCACTTTCAGGCCCTGGACCGCATCCTGGGTGCTCACGCTGTCCATGCCCCCCAGGTGGTCATCGACCCCAGGGCAGAGGGACACGTCCTGGACACCAAGGAGGAGGAGCCGGAGGACGCCGAGAGCCAGGAGCCTGCCCAGGACCCAGGACCCCTGAGGAACCCCACAGACCACATCACCTGTGTCGTCCGAGGCCGGGGCTCCACATGTGAGTACCATCATGCTCCCCTTATGTGTACGGGGGGGTGGGGGGGAGAGGGAGCCCAGGGGCCATGGGCCTGGGCCTTGCCCACCATGGAGCAGCAGCTGGGTGTCATGCAGGGGCCTTGGCCTTGCAGAGGGGGGCTGGGTTTCACCCACCTTGTCCCCAGGGAGAATTGACCGCTGCTCTTATTTCACCACAGCCGCAGCACCTGGGACTGCAGGGTGCACCACCCCGCCTGCAACAGCCACCAGCGCCCGGGCCAGCAGGCGTGCCAGGAACCAGGAGATCAGCGACATGTGAAAAATATAACGGGCATTAATCAAACCCATAATGAAGCCACGTGTTGAAAAGTCCCTTGCTCAAGGCCAGATTAGTAATGAAAATGAGATTCTGAAATGTGAAAAAGAAGCCAAATATATCCGCAGGACCCCCAGAAACCTGGATAGGCCAGCAAATGGTAAAAACTAGTAGGTGCCAAGAAAAGAAAAGAAAAGAAAAGAAAAGAAAAGAAAAGAAAAGAAAAGAAAAGAAAAGAAGCAGGGTCTAGAGGGGAGAATGGAGCCATGAAAGATCTGGAAATACAATTCCCATGAGGCACTACAGCCGTTCAAGCAGATGCACAGATTAACGTCAACCCAAAACAATATGTTTCAGAATTTCCAAATAAAATTTTTATGAACTCTTTGTTCAATAGAGAGTTTTGGTATTTTACATTTTCATGGTGATTTGGGAATGAAAACAAATGTTGAAGTATCAGAATTTCTCTTGGGAGGGAAATTCCGTTTCTCTGTCAGCTGTAGGATGAGAACCCTTGTGATGGGTTATAAAGCAAAGCCTACATGTGTGAACTTTCCTTCTGAGTAACACCGAAGTTCACTCAGCTCTGAAGTTCACAGCTGCCTGGTTCATAGGGTGAAACTTAGGCTGTGTGTACACCTGGCTTTTTTCCTAGAGGCGTTCCACTACCGCTGTGATGAAGGCAGTTCTGTTAGCGGCAGCAGCACTGAGAGTTGCTAACATATAGGGCACATCTATACTTAAATATTGTCACTTTAAAGGTCAATCTTCAGGCATTTGATTTAGCGGGTCTAGTATAGACCCATAAATCGAATGCTTAGGGCAGCCCCTGCCAGCATCCAATACTCGTCCTTCTGCGAGGAATAAGGGAAGCCAACAGAAGCGTGTGCTCCCATCAGCCTTCCACCAGGTTAACACTGCCAAGGTTTGAAAATCACCCTGATATCTAACCCTGCTCAAAGCAGTCTAGATGACACAGTGGTTAAAAGAACCAGTGTTTAAAGATCTTGAAACAGGCTCTAGCAGAGCTGAAGTTCAGGCAACTTGACTGACCAAATGACATGATGTGGCCAGCATTATCAGACAAATCTGAGTTCTTTCATTGAGTTCAGCTGGAGTTTCCTTGGGAGAAAAATCTCAGGACCTGGCTCTTTCTGAAATACCTTGTCCTGTAATTTGGCTTTGGAAAAGTCAGTTGCCTGCCTTGCGGTTTGTCACCCTCACACTCTTACACATAAAGCAGCAAAGCAGAAAACAGTATGGTAGGAGACAGAAGAATCTAAAACCTCCCTGTTGTAAAACCTGCCTTACTGTAAACACTCAACAACTCGTAACACTTTTTATCAGTATTTAAAAATGTTGCCGCTTAATCCATCTAAACCACATACCATCTTTCACAGTTGTACTATCTGGCAACTACAATAAC